AATTGGATTAGTTTGGTTTGGTTTTATATATTGAATTGGATTAGATCGGTTGACAAAATTAAACATCCAACAGATTATTGGACTGTAATGGTTCCATCGAAATTAATGGACTTGAATCGGTAAACACACACTATGTTCCTTTTCCACTAACGTCGGACAAACCAAAACACAAGTATTGTCGATAAAAACCATTTCCATATCCAAATATGATATTATCCGAGATCTACCAATATAAATTTATATAAACATAGAAAAAATTATTAGAACTTTTAAATTATAGTAATCAATTTTATAATACATTCATACTTAGAAATTGCAATCAATATCATACTAGTAATATATGCTAAGTTGAAACCAATATTTAAGATTCAAAGTTTAAACACATAAAATGTCAATGTAGCACAATAAACTTACGTGTTTTGTCAAATTTAACCATTTTTAATTTTTTTTAATGCATAATAGGCAATCTAACGTATATTGTACATGTCAATTAAGTCGTTTTTGTTAGTTTTTAACAGATCCCTGGTTAACCAATTATTCTAAATTACATGAATGATCCCTATAATGTTTAGTTCTTTTGCGTTTGGTACCTCATTTTGAAACAAATGAAACACTTGATCTCCAATCACTACCTGTCAATACTAACCATCACCTACCGCCATCAGAAACCTGCTAGCCACCAAAAACTACCACTGGTGACCGTCAACCATCACCTGTCCCACCCCTCAGTTAACTTTGAATCCATGACCATTGGAAAAATGGGTCTACTACACCCCAAGTCGTATTCTCCGGCTAGGATGTCGTCCCCCCTCCACACACACACACACATCCACCTCCACTTCATCCCTCCTTGTCAACTCCGACTAGAATGTCACCTTTTACCGGAATCTGTAACTCGACCAAAACCTGATGCAAAAAACAATTACCCTCGTTTTCAAGCCCTCCATACCCTTCTTTAATATTCTGTCCTCTTTACAAACATATTATGATCCTCCACAAGCTCTACCTTCTTGTTAAGATCCATAACTTTTTTTCAGTAATAAGGCAAGTAATTCTTCAACATTGTTTCCTTATGCTTCTTGTGAAAATTTAGTTCAAAAAATTTAAGCTCAGACTCGGAATTCGACTTGTGATCGACTCGATCACTTCGGTGTGCAAAAACCAGGTGCCTTTTATGGTTTAGAAGACATTGATTATGGGTTAGCTGTAATCAACTATAACCATGACTTCGTCGTCTTTTTCAGCTTTATTGGCTTTGATTCAATGTGTGGAGGGAGATAAATTGGTGTCCAAATAAATATTGGCGGATTTGAAGAGCTGGTTGGGGGTGAGGCTATCAAATTCCTTGATGAAGACGGTGAGTTGGGCAGAGAATCATTTGAAGAGGGATTGATATACTCAGTTGGAATGAGACCGGAAGCGATGGTTTTGAAGTGGAGTGCGAAAGCAGTGAAGGATGTGGTGGCTGTTAAGAAAGTTTTCGATGGTGGTAGGGATTCGTATGAAAACATGGCTTCGATGTGGAGGAGCTAAGGACTCTACACAAAAGAAACTGAAATCATAGGAACCATTCATGTAATTTAGAATAATTGGTTAAATAATAATCTATTAAAAACTAACGAAATTGACTTAATTGATATCTACAATATAAATTATATGGCTTATTGTGCAAAAAAAATAATAATAAATAAATGATCAAATCAGACAAAACATCTGAATTCAATTCAATCTTTAAAAAGTGACATTTCCCATTGATATGATATTTTGGACACATAAAAACTGCTAACCAAAAAGGAAGTAATCGGTATTGTGGTACACAACTACACACTACATACAACAAAGCTAAGGGATTAAAAAAGCAAAATGGTAAAAGCACATGGACCAAAATGGGTTATTTAAAACGTAGTAAAGCCATAAAATGGACATCTTTCATCTTTGGTGAGGAAGGCAAACCGCGTTCATCCTGCTTCCTCGTCTCTCTCTGTCACACGGAAGAATATTACTGTGATCGACGCTGCATACTCCATAACCATTTTCTTACAACTACCCCCCTCTCTACATCTTCTTCACTCCCCCTTTGAGTTTTTAAAATTTTGCAATGGAGGTGTTCTATTACATGGTGTTTGGGGGTTTAGGATTGATTGTGGCAGCTTTGGAGTTGAGTAAGAACAACAAAGATCGAATTAGCACTTCTCAGTCATTTACTTCCTTCAAGAACAATTATCTTCTTGTCTACTCCCTCATGATGGGTACGCCAGATCGATTTCCTTTACTTGTGCTGTTATTTTTAGGTTCTTAACGTGCTCCATAAGATCTGATGCGAATTTGATTATTCGCGCTTGCTTCTGAATGTGAATCTCTCACTCTCTCTTTATATATATATATACATATATTCGAAGAGATGCCGGATCGGGATCTTTGGTAAATGTAAAACCTAGTGATGCACTGTCAATTCTTTGTTTGATCAGTTAATTTTTCGCCTTTTTGCAATAGTTAATGAAGCAATCACCAAAAATTGAATTTCGTATATAAGAGACCCACTCGTGCTGATGTCTACTTGTCAGATCTTATCTTGTGTCCATCTGTTTTTGATTGATAAAGAAGAATTACAAGCTTGTAGAGCTGAAACCTAAATTCCGTCATGCTATAGTAAAGTTGAAAGATAGAGAAACTTGGAATGGATTACATGTTGACTCTTTATAGGAGATGAAAGTATATGAATAGTTAGAAATTAAAAAAAGATTAAGAGATGTAGATGTTTAGTTGTTTGGATCTCTGTTAATGTTTATGTTTATGACTCTGAATCTGATGGTGTGGGTATAGCTGGAGACTGGTTGCAGGGTCCTTATGTGTATTACCTTTACACAACATACGGGTATGGGAAAGGAGATATCGGGCAGCTATTTATTGCTGGATTTGGATCTTCCATGCTGTTTGGCACAATCGTTGGCTCTCTAGCTGATAAACAGTAAGCTTTCATCAAATCTTCATATATTGAAAGTGTTGGTAAATAACAAGTTTGTTTGTTACAGGGGTAGAAAGAGGGCATGTGTGACATACTGCATTACTTACATACTGAGCTGCATGACCAAGCATTCTCCACAATACAAGGTTTTGCTGTTGGGTCGTATCTTGGGTGGTGTTGCTACTTCTCTCCTGTTTTCTTCGTTTGAATCATGGCTCGTTGCAGAACACAACAAGGTAATTTTGTTTGTTTTTTTAAAAAAAAAAAAAAAAAAAAGATGTGGTGAATAATTAAAAGGTAGTTGGTTGACATCTGATTTCAGAGAGGGTTTGAGCAACAATGGCTGTCTTTAACTTTCTCCAAGGCCATATTCCTGGGGAACGGTCTGGTTGCAATCATCTCGGGGCTGTTTGGTAACTTTCTAGTGGACAGTGTAAGTCTAGGGCCTGTAGCACCCTTTGATGCTGCAGCATGCTTTCTTGCAATCGGGATGGCCATTATATTATCCTCATGGGGTGAGAACTATGGAGATCCTTCCGACAACAAAGACCTGCTTTCCCAGTTCAAGGCGGCTGCTGTAGCTATTGCTTCAGGTACATTTTTTTTTTTTTTTTTTTTTTTTTTAAAATTTATGAATTATGCTTTGGTTGATTAATTTTGAAACTAATTGCGTGTCTAAACTCTAGATGAGAAGATTGCACTGCTAGGAGCCATACAGTCTCTGTTTGAAGGGTCCATGTACACGTTTGTATTCCTGTGGACTCCTGCTTTGAGTCCAAATGATGAAGAGATTCCACATGGTTTTATTTTTGCGACTTTCATGTTGGCATCCATGTTAGGAAGCTCATTTGCAGCTAGACTCATGGCCCGTTCCTCACCTAGAGTCGAAAGCTACATGCAGATTGTCTTTTTGGTTTCTGCAGCATCCCTTTTGCTTCCTATACTCACAAACGTATAAAGCCTATCTCCCTATAATTAAATTATTTTTAAAAAAAAAAATAATAACCTAACCTCTCTTAATTAATTTGTAACAGTTCTTCGTAATAGCTCCCCCTCCTTCTGAGGTGAAAGGTGGAGGGATCTCATTGGGTTGCAGTATTCAACTTCTTGGGTTTTGTGTCTTTGAATCTTGCGTTGGAATCTTTTGGCCGTCAATCATGAAAATGAGGTCACAATACATTCCTGAGGAGGCCAGAAGCACTATTATGAACTTCTTTCGCATACCCCTCAATATATTCGTTTGCATCGTGCTCTACAATGTATGCTGCTCTGCTTTTTTTTTTTTCTGTAAATTTTCTTCATCTTTAAATGCCTGACATTTATTCTTTTGGTTGTGTTTGAAGGTAAATGCATTCCCCATTACGATCATGTTTGGAATGTGCTCCATCTTCCTTTTTGTGGCTTCTGTTTTGCAGAGGCGATTACTGGTCATAACCGATAAGCCAAGTGAGTGATGATCGGATATATTTATTAATTTGAAGCCGTTTTTACTAAGAGTTTTTATTTAAATTTATTTCAGAGTCGGAAGATTGGACATCGTTGAAAGAGAGAGATGTTGAGACTGAGCCATTAAATGATGATTAACATCAATCAAAATAGACATATACAAATATGAGAACACATCCAACAAACACATCTCATTCATGTGTTTTGACTTTTGATAAGATTAGTTTATTCAACCGGCACGATCCATGTAACCTGGCTACACAAACACGTGGAACAAAGAGCTTAAAGTAGCCTGCCTGACTTGCAAGGACTCTCGGCGTCAAACCAACTTTTTTTTATTCCTATTTATTATTATCATGTATAATTTTTACCGATTATTTTCCTACTTGTATTAAGGTCTCAAATAAAAACATTTGTTTGAGACTCTATTTTTGTCCAACAACTTGGTTTTTTTAGTGTGATTTCAAGTGTGAACTAATACATACAGTATGATTCTTTTATAACATCACAAGTTTATGCAATTTAAATGAGGTCCCGAATGATAAATTGACATTCGACAGTCAAAATTCAACATACTTAGAGCAGCAAATTTTTAACAACAATTGCCAAGCATATTCATATACTGAATTTTATAATGTTACATACAATTGATTAAAGATGAAAACTGAGGGGTCTGATCAAAACAAAACACATACAAGTTTTGCGACTTTATTAGCATCATGCTACAAGACAAGAGAAATATACATTACATGGTGATGGTGATTAACAAATGATAAATGATGAGAAACATTTACAAGAAACGACCACGTTTTGCAGGTGCTGAAGCAGTTTCCAGGTCTCCAATGAAGAACAGGATTCTGTCAAGAATCCCCATCTGGCGATCACGTCTACCCATAAACTCATCTTCTGTATACCTGGTTGCATCTGAGCTTGTTGAAGCAGAAGCATCATCTTGCAGATGTCTTGAACCCAAATGTCTTTGAATTTCTCCTTGGTGGATCAAGAAATAGTCATCTCCTTCCCTTATGATCTTCAGCCCCCTGCAAACCGCTTTTTAATGAATACTTAATTGTTTATAATTATAAGTAGCAAGTGATGGTGATGGTGATGGTTACTTACAATCCAACACGATCACACCGATCTTGAACTGCATATACATCTTTCCATGACTTTGCATCATCAGTGGGTGCATAAAATATGGCTCGCTCTATTCCCCATCTTTCTTTAAATAGGTTACACCAAAGATCATTTTCCAAACTAAACACCTTCCACTTCCTGCACACTTAAGTTAACAAACAACAAACTATTCTATCACTCTTATAACTCACCAATTTCAATATCAACTCTTGTTCAACAAGAAATCAGGCCATTTTTTACTCTCAAAAGACATAACTTACAAAACTAAAAGCCAAAACTCTGTTCTAATAAGGGACTCTTGGTGTAAACAGAATACAGAATTTCATGGTTAAGAGGTTGCATTTATTGAACACAACTTCTCTACCGAACAAACATCCAAACACAAGCATTTCCATTTGCAAACTCATCAAGACCAGTACACTGTGGTTTGATGAGTGTATACAAGATCAATTTCCCAATCACATTTCGTTCATCCTAAAATTCTCTGATTTGTCTATGAAAAAAGAACAAGAAAAATTGTATAGCTGACAATCTCTAGAGAAACCCAATAATATATCACGACATATACCAACTCTTTTGTAAGTTTCTCCCGAACGCTAGATTTAAATCAAGTACCACATTAAAAAGAAAAATAAAATAAAAATGGGGAAAGAGGCTCTAAAAAAGATAACTTTCCGACTACAGTACAGTCAGCATCCTTGGATCCAGATCTTATCTTTGGAAATTCATAAAAAAACCGCATCACACGCAATCAAAATCAAGCAACCAAAACATCCATTTGTGACCAAACCAATTTTTCGTAAAGGCCATCACCCATAACCACATAATTCCGGACAAGAAACAGAGAACAATCACGTACACACACAGAAACTGAATGGAGATCGATCATTTCATCACACATATTGAATTTTACATCGTAAGCTCCGGAATTGAGGATGTAGTTTACGTGATACGATTGAAGTAAGTAGCATTCAATGTTTATGTAAAAGCCTGAATTGACTAACCTTGCTGGGCTGTTACGAGGTCCTTATGATCCAATAAACAGAAGATTTTCATACAGAGATCCGCAGGTAGATTATCCATATACTTGATAATCGAATTTTTGAAGGAAAATAGATGGAAAGGACAAACTTTGTAACCACTAACCACCGATCGATGACGAAATACTTGTGTATTTTATTTTTCTTTCGTTTCTACATATAAGATCAAAAGAGATATTTACAGTTTGGTCCTTGTCATTGGCACTTATCTTCAGTTTTAATCCTGTGGTCCTCACAGTTTCAAAATCCAACACGGTTGGCCCCTTTGCCTAACACCGTCAGAATTTTCTATTAAGTTCAATAAAAAATGTTTTTTTTTTCTAGGACCAAAAGTATAGAAATCTAAAATCTCCAATTTTTGAAAGATGTATGAAATCCAAATTAAAACCCCTAAATTCACCTATGAGGAAGGTTACCATTCATTACATATACACACACATTAAAAAAACTCGAAAACAATGCGTAAAAGTCTTATACCAAAGCAAATTACGAACCAAGTGAGGAAAAAATCAAGCAGGTATTTTATATAAATTTGACCTACCCTATCCCCTGCAACTCGCATGCAACTTTGTGGAAGAAGAAAGAACCCATGATCAATGTTGTTACACAAAGGTTGGTGGCAGTGTATTCACGATCCTACAAGTCATCACTGATGTCGAGACTCTTTATGGACTTTTTTTTCAAGTTTATGAGATTTGCATCATCAAGACCAAACTATAATTTACTCTTTGCTTAATGAATCTTTAGAGTTGGTTGATGTATTTTCCAACTACATGGTGGTTAAACTTGCTGATGAAGTTGAAATTCTTGCAATTCTCATAAAATAGTGGTCATGCTCGTCCTTATGATTTAAATAGGTTGTAGTGTAGGAGTAAAGTAATGATCAATAGACCTTTTGAATTTGTGATGTCTGAATTACAAAACTAACATGTTCATTTTGAAATGTAGATTCATAAGAACACATGAATGAAAAAGGTATATATATATATATATATATATATATATATATATATATATATATATATATATATATATATATATATATATATATATATATATATATATATATATATATAGGGTTATGTTATTTTGTTTTTACTAACTATTGTGTGCCAGAATGCACAGATCTGGACCATCGGATTGAATATAATCAAAGGTCATGATTAGAGGGTCTATGATAGTAGAATAGGATAGCATATACCATATAATCACACAAATTTCAGCATAAGGGCATTTTAGTCAATTAACCTATATTAAAAAAGGAAATTTTCGGATTTTTAAGGATAGTTAATTCTTTTCTTTTTTAAAAATATGAATATTTTAAATTAATTCAAATTTAAAAATACGATTTTATTCTGTCAGAATGATAGAATACCAACCATAAACTAGTTAATATATTTTTCGATTTTATTCTGTCAGAATGATAAAATATCAACCATAAACTAGTAAATACACTCTGAAAGAATACACAAAATCAATTCTTGAACTAATAATATAACAAATAATTACATTGTATGATTGTGATTCATTGAATAATAACAACATTCTGAAAGAAATGATTTTTAAACAACACTTTATACATTGTAGCATAACACATTCTGGTATAATACACTCTTGTTCTATATGTTTTCTTCCTTCTCCACATCAATGTTAGCCTCTTCAAAACCTAAATCCACAAAAAAAAAAAAACATAATCAAGTTTCAAAAATTAAACAATTCAATGCATTCTAATAGAATAAAAACTATAAATTCTGATAGAATGTATTAAAGACTATAAAGTTTGACAGAATATAGTAGAAAAATAAAAACTATAAATTATGACAGAATGTAGTAGAGACTATAAAGTCAACCATAAAGTATCACAAATTCATTACCAGTTAAACTAATATACTTGTTGTGAGATTGACATTTTGTGTATGTTTGACCTCTAAGCCACTTCAAAGTATGCTAGCATTCTATGAGATTGACATTTTGTGTGATTGGCATTCTGTCAGAATTGTATTGCATAAGAATGATTTTATACAAGGAGCTGCAAAAAGGAGATAAACATGAGCATGATTTTATACAAGATACATTAGAATAAGTAGAATAATTTGAAGTGAACATTTTATTAAACCAACATATTAGATTTCATTCTAACAAAATTGGAATTCGTGATTCCATTCTGGCAGAATTACCGTCATCATATTAGATACTAAGACGATTTTGCTACTGCTACTAATTGAAGATTGTTCCTTTGGTGCTTGATATTCATGAGGAAGATAAGAAATAAATTTTTCACGAATGTCTTTTTCAAATATCAAATTCTACAAGATAGAATACAAACATGATAAAGTAATTGTTTATAGCATACATTTTCGCAACTCCATATAACGTTAAACATAAACAATTATAATGTTTGTTTGAAACAATTGATATTAAATTGATACGCTGTTGAAAACAAATTAACTATTATTGTTAATTTCATTTATTGTATGAACTATTTCTAAAATGATGAATAGGCATCGACACTTTCTTCATGTATCATATAAACCAAATTCATTTTTATATTATAAGAATCCAATCGCACATAATGAGGATTAAACAATTAAAATTCCTATACTAATGGTAAAATCAAAATCGCATATCAATATATACCTAATAAATTACATTCTTATACCCACATAAAAAAAAATTGAATTTGAGAAGAATTTATAACAAAAACATATTTTCTGAATTAATTTCGGTTTTTACATAGAAAAATAGACTTACTGTTGATGTGTTAATTCTTAATTGAATTTGTTGGAGATGGAGATCAGATTCGATCGAAGATGGAGCGGATGTCGTCAAAAATCACCAGGGAGATATAGTCGTAGCCGACAATTGAAGATGAAGAATGTAGATGTGATTTAGGGTTGCATTGAACAGGTCGCAAGGAAGGGAGATCTAATCTCCGACAGGCTTCCCTTGGTTCATTATCTCCGTCTCCGTCAGCCACCAATCGTGGAAAGAAATGGAACGGAGGCAGCAGTGTTGTTGTCAAGTGGCAGCGACGGCTGCTCCTTCTATCGAACAACAATAACGCAATGAGGGAAAGACTTCGATCCTCAGTTGATCAGAGAAGAAAGAAACACACAAACATTTAGAAAATGGCCGATGACTCTTAATCGATCGCAAGGAAGGGCTGCAATCGGCGGTGGGAAGTCGCTGAATTTCTTCTCTATAGTGGTGATGTTCCAGGAAACGAAGGTGAAGGATTAGGTCAAATATATTTACTTTATTTCCATAATTGTAGGATTTCAATTAAATGACTTCCTTAATTAAAAGTACAAAAGGTCCAAAATACCCTTTATTGATTTATTTAATTATTTATTATTTCTTGAATTCTCATTGGTGCATTTAGGCACACAATATTTGTTGAAAACATTTGAACCTAACTCTCTCTCTCTCTCTCTCTCTCTCTCTCTCTCTATATATATATATATATATATATATATATATATATATATATATATATATATATATATATATATAAGATTCTCAAAAAGCATATACTTGCAATGATGTTATGTCCTAATAAAGAAGGTGGCAAGAGAAGATGTGCGAAAGCAAGCAATCGGAGAAGATGGCCAACAAGGGATGGGGTAGTTGGTGTTGAGACATAACTAGTGTCTAGTAGATTCTGTTACAGTGTTAACCCAACAAATATAAAAGATCATAAATATAACTCCAAGTCATTGTTACAATACTTATAAACATAGTATAAAGTAAGCAGAATCAGTCTACAAATGACATGAAAACATAGGGCTAATGGTTGTCTCTTTGCACGAGACATGTTTCAGTCAATCAAGAGTCAATCTATGTGGAGGGGGTGTTCGTAGAATAAATTGTAATTTTTTTGAATAAAAATATATTAAAAGAGAAATAAGAAGTAAAGAGATTCTGAACCTATGTTTGACTACTTCGGTTATGCAATTCAATCATTCAAGGATGTCGAATCAATTCTATTTAAATTAGTACTTGATTACATTAATAAATTATATCGTCTCCACTTCACCAAATTGCTTATTTAAAAAAAGTAACTCTTTATAATAAACATAACCTTCTAATTTTAATTAAACAAGCACTTATAAATAGATCAAAAGATTGCACAAGTTTTGTATGAATGTTTTAAAAAACATCTGATATTTCTCACAAGCTCGGAAACGTAAAAATATATGCTTTTTAGTTTACATTAAAATCAATTTAACGATTCTTTCTAGCTTTAAAGTTAAACCTAAGATTTGGGATCAGTTTGACATATAGATGAAACCAATTTGAAAAAATGGTTTTAAACTTACAAGACCTATTTTCAATGACATAAAAATATCATTTTCATGGATTATTTTTTTAAATGGTTGTTGTGGAGGTTTCTAAAACTTTTTTCTTTTTGGAAACTCTATACTATCCGATTGTCCAAAATAATAATATTCTTTTTAAAAGTTAGAAGTAGAAAAATATTATTTATTGTCTTTTAGGCCGTGTTTGGTGCGTTACAGTTAGCTGAAAAGCTAACTTATTTTTCGAGTTTTTTTAAGTTGTTATGTTTGATAAACCAAAAATTAGCTTATAAACTAGCTTTTTAAAAAGCTACTTAGATTAATTTTTTAGAAGTTTTTTTAAAAAATTTCAAATATACCCATTAATTAATTATAAAAACATATTTTTTTAAATATTCTTTTATCATTTTATATTTTCAGCTAGTTTTAACAAATACCATTTTTATCAGTTAACTTTTTATATAATAGCTAATAAAAATCAAGTTGCGTTAAACGACAAAAACATGAATAGGTGTTTCAAAACCAATCCTATGGGTTTGACTTTTTTTTTTTTTTTTTTTTTTTCCAAATCGATTTTTGCCATTATAGAAAAAACGAACCTATTTTCAAACTGATCCGTATGGATAACCGATTTATGCACCATGAGACAATACAGTATAACTGTATAAACACCCGTATCGGGCTACAAAGACCCATCGCAGGTCATGTTACTTGCAGCAAGCAGGACATGAGACATGAACACCAGCACTTCAAACATGGAACCGGAACCCTCCCATGCCAATCGTAACCTTCTTCACATCCACTTCATCTCGTCAACCGACTCTCCCGAGTTCGCTCGTTTGAACTGGGCACTGACTCATTCCTCTATCATCGGAC